TCAGACAGCCAAGCAGCTCTAAAATATTTTGCAAAATCCTTATTCCAATCATAGTTGGGCTTGTAATGCTTTCAACTTCTTAACACCCTAGCATCGAGGAACTGTGTTACTCTTGTGTGGGTACCGGTACACAAAGGGCATGAGGGCAATGAAATAGCAGACTCCCTAGCAAAGAAGGGTGCATGTACTACTTTCATTGGTCCAGAGCCCCTCTGCGGGGTAACAAATAGCTTATTATGCTTACAAATAGCTTACAACATCTACTTGAACATTGGAGAAAAGGCATGCGACAGTCAAAAAGATTCATTGATCCTGATCACATCAAAGTTTATGCTATTGTTGGCCTTAGTAGATATTAAAATCTACACTGAACTTTTTACAGGACAATATACACTTAATTACCACATGAAGATTATAAGTGTGGTAGAAAATGACGCCTGTCGACACTGTCATGAGGAGAAGGAAACATCGGATCATGTTCTATGCAACTGCCTAGCGGTGGCAAGACGTAGACTCGATTACTTTGGAAGCAGGATATTAGTCCCAAGTCAAATAGGTAAAATTAATCCCACAGTAATTACAAGATTTATAAATAGTCTATAATTTTTCTAGTTGGGCCTTTAGGCGTACAATAGATCTTTTAGATCGGAGTGCTTTAATACCCTATTACTTGAAATAAATCGTCCATCAAGTGGGCCCACTGAAGTAAAAGATTAGCCGAAGTAGACCACTAAACGACTTGGTTCCTTTTTCGTCCTTCGATTCTCGAATGTCGTTATTGAGTTAAAGCTGACTTGGCTTTCGTTCGCATGACTACATCTCTTGTTATTGCAAATAGCTTATTTACTTGAGATTAGCTGACAAGTCATCACAAAACCATAGTGTGTTGAGAGACCATTCATCTTACTTAATGGTTTTCTGGACTCTGGGCCGCAGAAATTATTTTTTGATGCATGATTTGAAGATTCATTTGCCTTTTCGTTCTGCTCAATACCGATATGTCCTTTACTTGTTACCTCATTTCATGAGCACATTTCATTATTTTCGTGAAACATTCTTGCGCTAAACTACGCACGTCTTTTATATACTTTTGATAACTGTTTGACAACGATATCAGAATCTTTCCTGATACATCTTATAATCCAAAATGTGCATATTAGACTGATAAAGAAAAATTGAGTAATTTAAATTTTAGCAAACCTTTAGTGATAATTGTAAAGATATAGATCATTTGAATCCAGACCTTGTTACAAATTCTCAATTCTCTTTCCCCAAATTCTTGCTTTGTTGCTTGACAACCATAGTTGATGTCAGAATTTGATGTCAGAATTTCTGAGGTCAAGTGAGCTTTGTTGCACAAGTCTGTCACTTCAACCTAGCCACTCTTTCGTCGATCTAATTACTGCTATAACACTCAATAATGTAAAAATGTTTTGTATGATCCTCACCTACTGGACCAATAGCTAATAATTACTGTTACTGCAACTGTTGTTGGAACTGTATTTGAAGCGGTAGTTGGTGGAAGAAAGCGTAAAGGTAGTAGTATATCTCCAGTGGAATGATCAACTTGAGGAAGCACTAACCGAACTTGATGAATGAAACTGGAGAAGGTGCGCACGTAGCAAAGGTGCCTGGACAGATATGCTGCGGTAGATCACAACCCGGTAACGGGTTGTTATGGTTAAATAAGTAAGTGCGTAATTCAGGAGTATTAGTTATATCAAATCAATATCTAAGACTTCATGAAATTAATTTCTTTGAGTTTTCGACTTAAATGTGAATTGGCTAGCCCTATAAATGTGTAACACTTTGATCTTCTTCGTTATAATGTTTTCATGAAAAAATTTCTCTTGTGGTTGGATTTAAGTATAATAAGATTAAAGTGTTCAGATGGTTCTTGTGCTTTGTGTTGCATTTTTTAATGACTTCGGCTACTATAGCAATTTTAAGTCTTTTAAGTCTTTAATGTCTTTGTTAAAAACATACCAATCAGCATTGATAAGAGCGTAAAGAATTTGAGACTAGATTAATATATATATTTCTCTGGCCGAAATTTCTTATAGGTTTGTATTTTACTGTGCTCAGAGTCCTTATGCTATATTTTCGAATAACTTTGGCTATAGAGGGACAGCAAAAATACTTCTCCTGATCCCTTCACGAGAGAACCGTCTGGAAATAGGTCTCACTGTTTTCTCGTCCTGTACGTTGTCAGGGCAGTACGTTGTCCTGTACTAACTATCGCTGTTGAGTTTCCGAGAGATGTCTTCTTTTGAGATCAGTATTGATGACAGCATGAATAATTTTGAAATTCATTCTATTGCGTGTTTTGCATAAGCTACTCATAATTTATCTTCTTCTTAATCTTCTTCTTGTCAGATTATCAATTTTTTCAATTATTGTGGTGCAAGTTACGATGTTAAAGGTTCAGTAAATTAAAATTTTACTTAAAAAATCTACTTATGTGATCGAATACCTTCAACCCTGACAGAAAATCCAACATTTATTTCTTTGTTGTTTATGTGAATCAATGAATGGACATATATTTTATTCCAATTTTTATTTAATTTACTAAATATTTTGCAGAACTTTTGATATTAAATTTTTCGGTGCTTACAATTCTAAAATAACTTTGATATTAGTTGTGTGCAACAAAAACTTCTAAAATAAAATTCTTAAAAGTGAAACAAAAACTTTACTGCAAAGTAAAGTAAAATTGATTCTAAAGTAAAATCAATTGAAAAAAAAGCAAAACAAAAAACTTAGGCAACTTTCCCATTACTCTACATTCCCAATCAGCGATGAGTCAACCTGAACTGCACTTCTCCCATCCAAACTGGCAATGTGCAATATATCCTTAAAGATATTCAATCCACGTGTTTATGTGTTTTATGCCAAATTGTAGTTGGTCTACGCAGAGTGAACTTACTTAAGTTGAGTGATAAATCAATATAAACAAAGAGCAAATCCTAGCAACGACTTCCGGTAGGTAACGGATGCTGCTCGCTGCCTACACATGTTTCTAAAGTTGAACACAAAAATTTTAAATAAAGTTTAACTCTTCATAGATATTTCGGAACGCTTGCTTCAAGTGCGTCACAAGTGAATGGTTTCAACTCATGTAATTTTTTCATTTTTGATCTTATTGTGGATTTAGGCAAGTATAATATATTATTTTGCTTTCCACAAAACTGAGGGAACTCAAGTAGTAAACTGTGCTGTAACAGAAAACCTATCGAATTTGTCAGAATTTGCGGTTCCACGCTGTCAATTGCCATTAAATACTTTAGAAACTTTTCGAAAAAGTTTAACAAATACGTTTTGGTACAATTAATTTTAAAGGATATATATTCTTTAAGAATTCATTAAAAAAAAACAAAAGAAATAATATGATAAATTTAAATCTAAAGCAAAAATATGACATTCTACGGAAATTACCTACAAAATTTCTAATTCATGTAACAGTTTGAGAAGCATTGTTAAAAAACTTTCACTACATAACCCATATTATGAACAGTTTCGGAATGTATTCTCAATTTTTTTGAAAACTTTTGTATAAAAATTTTCGTTCTTGGTAATTAATTTTAGTAAAGTATATTTTCGCCATTATTATTTATGACCTCTTGCCATTTTTCGTTGGCTTTATAGTGCCAACGGTAGAGAACTTCTATAGTTTATACGCAAAAACTCAGCAAAGTGACTCTCTTTCAGTGGCTAAAATTATTAGCTCAAATCAAAAAATAATTCAGTTAAAAGTAAGAAAAAGGTGGATTACACCCTTAATAGATTGTGCTATTGTTTTAGCATGTGAACGAATACATCAAAAAGATATGTGGAACTTCTTTCTGTATTACCACTTTATTATCAATTAAAGCACTTTCTTATGCATTTATTGTGTTCCACGTAATTATATATTATTTTAGACGCTCGACCATTAAGTTAGTTGCTGTTCATACCTTAGTTTTCACATCACGCTAGATGGCGTTGCGGTGGTTAATTTGTTCGTCACAGATATTAGGTCTGTTCCACGAGCTACTTGTAGTAACTTTTTATTAATTGTGTATACACAAGTGCGTTCCAACAGCAAATTTTCGAGTAAATGAGAGCATCTGAGAGAGCGTAACATCCCTGTCGAAATTTAAAAATGCTACACAGACTTTACCCGTACATATTATTCCAAATAAAATTTGTGTGATATGTGAATCAGCTGTTTTGGATTGAATTTAAATTTTTGTATTGTTTATTGGTGCGGCACTGGTGTTCTCACTAGACTTTACACAAAGCTGTTCCATGAAAATCTGTATAAAAATCGTGATTTGGTAATTTTTTTGTGTTACGCTCTCAGTTTGTACTTTACTTAATATTACTTGAGTTTTACTAGAAGTAGCTCATGGAACAGACCTATTATGTCTGAAAAGTGATAGCTTTTATGATGATATTAAAAAAATTATGCAAAATGTATTATAATTGTACTTTTCTTTTCAAAACTTTCATTCTACACACAAATTTTATTGTTACATCAAATTAAAATAAATCACTTCAGAGCATATGAAGTATATGAGAAAAAAATCAAGCAGATGTGATTATAAAGTCAATAAGAATAAAATTGTAATCTATAAAATTTTATTTCTGTATGATCATAGTTGTTTTAAGTGGTGCTTAATAACCATTATGCTTATATTAGTACTAACGCATAAACCACAGCTATATACAGATGAAACAATCGATTATACTATTTCTTGTTGCTGTTCTTTGCACAATTGCTAGTATATTTCGCTTAATAACTTTTATAAGAAATCCATGCACACATTTCGCTGTTTATTAAATTTCATACGTGTACCAGACTTTTTAAGTTGCGCGTCAGTATATGTCTGAAAGTCTAGTTGAAAGTGTGGTGTATGTGTAGGCGTTGATGCAAAGACTGGCATTTTATTGAAATATAACTTTCATAAGATATCGAAACAGATACATTTAGTTACTGTGTTATATCTCATTATCAGCATATAATATTTAAAAAGCATTATAATACAGCATAAGCACAGTTCAGTTCCAGTTGTGGTTGTTTTAAAAATCCGTAAGGTAAGTACGAAATAAAAAAAAACTCAATAGAGCAATTTTGCATATAAATCTACTTAGACTGAATTATAATATAGATAAAAGATATATCTATAACCAAGATTGGTATGAATTTATATCCTTAAGTAGGACATTTATGACATTTAGAATTTTTATAACCTTGTTTTTTTAGTAATAATTATTTAGTTGCTGACACCACAGTTAGTATTAAAAACCGGACTATATATCTCAATTTAAACTATTTTAGAAGTAAATTATCTATAAATATTCAGAAACTCACATACCAACATGGTTTAACCTTGAAAGGTGATTATTTAGTGCGGAAGGCATAAAAAAATCGTACGGGAAAAGCGTCATGATAACTACTTAACAAAAAACAGGGCAACCCTACTTTGTGTAGGGTCTTATATCTTAGAAATAAATTGTTTCTGTTTTCATCCCAATGAGTTGAGTTGCCTTTAATAGTTTGCATCTTCTTAAATATTCAAAACAGACTCTCACTCAAGAGATTATTTATCTTAAATCGGGGAAAACACCCGAGAGTAAAGGAAATTGGTACGAAACACCCTGTATATGTATGTATCTGTATATTACATTCATGGAAATGGATGTTTATAAGTGAAATATGAGAAACATTTGTTTTGCACCAACCAATGTCTTAGCAAAAACATTATTTAAAACAGCTGATCTTAAATTCTTTCCTGCTTAGTAATAATTTTTTAACTGAATTCGTTGTTTAGTTGGAGAATATAGATTTATTTAATACTTTTACAAAAGAAATGAAAGATGTCTAACAAAAGGTAGTAAATTACGTACGCGTAAGGTGATTTAGAGTTTTATTTGCAATAAGAATAAAGTCATATAGTGGAACTATCTTACGCTTAAAAAGTACATTGAAAACATAATAAACCTAAAAATGTGAAGGGAATAAGTAAAATTATATATATAATAAAAATATATAATATAGTGTGATATTATTGAAAAATAATTTTTCTATATAAATAAATAGTTGCTATGTAATTTTTTTTTTTGACAAAAAAAAAATTAAAAAAAAATTCCTATATAAGAGTCTATTCTTCAGAACCCTACCACCTATAAATAAATAAATCTCTAAATGGTCTTATTTCTGTCAATTATTTACTATTGCAAGGGGATGTGGCCCCTCTCAGACCATCGGGTTTATTGTAACCCTTCTGGACTTAGAGTATAGAAACTTACTCTAATAGTATAGAGCCTACTCTACAGAGTTTTATTGTCTCTTTTGTTAGGATGCAGATTCCAAGGAGTCTATTCCCAGGAGTGTGACTGATTCTTCATTCTCTTCATAGAATTTACAGTTTGCATTCGTATACGCACAGTCTTGTAAGTTGGTGTTTTAGTTTGCAGTATCCTGTTAAGTTTCCTGTGATGATTCCAAGTTTTTCTTTTCACAAATCTATACAATCTGGTAGTTAGGTACCACAAAGTAATTTGGATTGTGTTAATCCTGACAGATTAACCCACTATTCTTTTTTGTCCTGGTTTGCCTTCATTTTTATGAGAGAGAGGAGGGTACTTTGTTCTAGTTCACAGAAAGTTTCAAGCCCTATCAGCTATGTAGTGACTCCTTTCTTGTCTAGTGTAGTTGAGTAATTTGGATTGCTAACTACTTATACATACATTATTTTAGTAATATATATTCAATTGTGTCTTTTTATCTATAACAAATTTCATTTCTTATTTCTATTTAGTAGATTTAAATTACTAAAAATCGCGTAAATCAATCTAAACCTAATTTTTACAGAGCATATTGTTCATCTCACTTTCTCCTCAAGCATATTACTATCATCACGATTACAATTAATTAGAAGTATACATCACATTCACCAAATTCTTTTTCTTACCAAACTTGAGGTAAATTCTATTCATTATTTTTTATTAGTACATATATTAAAATATTTTTTCTTTTTAGATCTAAAATGGAAGCTTTACCTACTGATGTTCTTTTCACTATATTCGATCGCTTACAATTGAAAAATGTGGTTCGATTGCGTGCTACAAGTAAACAAATGAAAGATGCTGCGGACATATATATATGCCATCAATTCGCAGTCATTAAGAAGAACATTAAAAAAGCCGTTGATAAAAGACTAATACCAACATATATAGTTTATATAGCACTCGATCGTATTTTAAAAGATATGTCTCAAAAAACTGGATTCTATTTAACTATAATTGGAAATTTACAAAAAATACCATCCTGTATGGATATTAATTGTTGTATGAATACAATGTTAAGACTTCGTGATAGAATGTCAGGTGGTGTTAAGATCAAGCTTACTGAAGAAATACGCTTGAATCTTATGTTCTATCATGCTGCTATATATAATTTAATAACAATTTGGTTGAAGCACTATGAAGTCTCGCATACTGTAAACAATAAGAGCGTATATCACAAATATGAAGTAAAGAAACGAAGTTCCGAAATGCGGGTAAATGTATACAAAACTGAACTGTCGGAAATATTACGGACCTTAGTAATTAAAAGCGGTTATACTAGAACAAGATTTCAGGAAATATTGAGTATGACAGAAGTTGATTATAGAGACAACATAACTATTATATTGACTGCAACTGAAGGTATTCAAAATTTTTTCAATGGCACAGTTAGTAAACAGAACGAAGCTATACCAGAACTATCACAAACCAAGGGAAAAAATTTTAAAATATCCTACTCTTTCGACTTCTTTTCACGATATGCTATTTATAATGAAGTGTATACTTATAATTTGACTGGTAAACATCAATACTTTCATTAGTAACTATATAAGAAATAAAAGTGAATATACATTTGTTAATGTTGGATAATCTTCAGTTCTAAGTAAACAATATTTGAACTAAAAGTAGTGTAAACAGTCATGGCGAAAGAGTAAGAAAAAAATTTTAAGCATTTTTATAAAATTACATTTAAGTCTCTAAGTAATTTAAAGTATTGAGAAAATAATAATTAAATAAAAGAAAATATGTATATATATATAATATATATACATAATTATATATAAACCAAAACATATCTCTGTTACTTAAAATAGTGGCTCTGATAAAATAGATTGGAAAATTGATGTGCCCGAATAATTGGATTCGGGTCCAAATTATATATATAAAATACGGATAGTCTACTATTTTAACTAACCCCTCTGTTTTTATTAAATCTTATTAACAGAGAGGTTACTTTACTTTTAACTAATTGAACTTTTGGCTGAACATTTGCTGTATCGAGTATTGTTAAATATTCATCCTCAGTGCTCTTGAAATTATTTCTTATAATTAATTATTTTTACATATTTTTTTTTTTTGAGACTTCAAATACCAAGGGTTAAATTTGCTTGAGTTTATTAATCTAAACTAAAAGTTTTTGTTGTTGTCATTCACTACTATTATAAACCTCTCTATTAAATACAATAGTTTCTATTTCTAAATACTTCCGTCGTCACTAAACTTAAATCAATTTATTTAAATTGTCTATTAAATTGAATTTCAGTTCAATTTAACTAACTTTATTAATTTAATGAACAATTAATATTAATTAATTAATTAATTAATAAATATTATTGAATAAATTAAGTACATTACAAATACAAATAAATTTTGTTTTAATATCTTTTGTCATCAAATTCTAAAATACTTCAGTTCTAGTGATGTTTAGGACCCAGACCATCACACCATATCAAACTTATATGAAAATTAAATATATATGCCTGGAAATTATTTATATATTCGACTATTTTTAAATATTTGACAGTATAAATATTTATATATACATTTCTATTATTTTATTAAACAAACGAAGCTATTTATGTCAAATAATTTGTTAAGAAAAAATAATTGAAAAATAATAAATAAATTTAAAATGCAAAAGTTCTATATTTTTACAAAAATATATATTTTTGCCGAATTAATCAGAATATTCTAAGATATCAAAATTTTAGTCATTTAAGAAATCGAAAAAGATAAGTAAAATGGAACACAAAAATAATTGTAAGTATAAATGACAAGATTTAGACAAAAGTCGAACCACTTCAGAAATTAGATATTATTTCCCTTAAAAAGTAACTACAACAACCGGCGAAAATACCCTTATAACTATAGATGAAACAGAGCCAAGCAAGCGTTCAGATCGTTTAGTTGAGAACACAATTATAGAGGATCAAGCCACAACTTCTATGCAGGCGCTTAATGAAGCAATCAGTCTGAACGGAAACCGAACTAATACTGATTTAACAAACAAACAAATTTTCAATGAACATGAAAAAACTAAAATTTCAACTGCGAATTTAATTTTAACACAAGTTAAAGGTAAAGCTTGAAATATAAAAAGAGTTATGATAAAGATATAGTTACTAATGAATATTTTATTATATTTACTAATATAGATAGAGCTGCTGAACTGTATTTGATAAATAGTAGTTCTGACACTGAACTAAAAAATGTTACTAGGGGTTTAGTTCGTTGTAGTAACACAGAGGATTTGACGGAACTATTAGACGACCCAACACCAACTCATTCAGTACACTCAATTGGTTCCATTGTATGTCGCATTTGTCACACAGCTGAAAACACTGATAAGTAAGTCAATTTTTAGATAAAATTTAAAATAGTTTATAAAAATGGGCCTTTCAATTTAATTGGTAATAATAAGGAAAATTATTTATTGATCCAAGAAGCATAAAAAGCATATATATTTATTAACAGAATTAACAGAATTATAGGTTCCAAACAAAGGTTTAGGCTTAAGCAAAAATTAAGTCAATGAAGTCAGAATTGAGACCTGAATTACAGATGTAAAATCAGCCATCAATATTTTTAGATATAGAGTCTAGTATGTTATAACATAGTAGGATTGATTCAAAATTAAGTTGACTAAAAACTTTAATCGAAGAGAGCTTTTCCATCATTTTTGTGGATAACCTTATTTTCCTAAATTTAAATAAATTTTATGTTTTGTTATTCTAATTAACTAATAATAATAATAGTATATTACACCATTAATTAATAGTATATATTACTAAAAAAATTTTCTTCTCTAATGCTTCATTATGCTACAAACGACATTTTTAACGATTATCGTACTGCCTTCTCCGATAAAAATATTTTGAGAACCAATAGATTCGTGTATTACTGTCGAAATAAGTAATAGTTAGCTGGCTACAAAGGAGGATTACTTGAAATCAGTGGGTCTATCACCCAAAATCGTAAAATATTATGTTTTAATACATATTGTATATATTATAATAACTTTATTTTACAAGAAATTTGTTTAATAAAGTAAACTTTTAAGAAAGAACGCTTTCAAAAACAAATAATTTTAAATCCTCATAATATTCAAACTTTTTAAGGTATAAAAGGATATTATTAGGCACATAAATTAGGCATATTTAATCGACTAAATACTGAAATATTATTTAAGCCTTTTTAATAAACTTGAAGTATTTGTTTCTTAATTTAATATTTTTCTTGAATTGATTACTTCTATGGCACCCTGTATACCTCCTATTACAAAAAATGTAATCCCACTCTCATAAAATTTTTTGTATTTTTAAGACCAATAATGCATGTCTCATATTTACGTCAAATAGTAATCTATCTATCTATTCTGTCTTAAGAACCAAACGTTTCCATGTTTCTATCATATAATAAAAACTTTTGCCGCGGTAATAATTTACATATTATTTAATTAATAATAAATAACTGGACTAATAGTCCAGTGGTTCTATGTAAATAATCAGAATAATAAATAAAAAATCCATATGAGTAAGTTCTAAAATATAAAGTAGTAGTAGTTCTTAATCATCAAAATTTAAAATTTTTTACATGTTTTACAATTCACATTAAATATAATATGATCAAGTGATTACATTATGTCTATCTCAACAATTTATAATATATAACTAACTAAAAGGTATTTAAACTTATATAAAATAAGTATGTATACCTAATAGTATTCTGCAAATATGTTGTTTATGTTATCATTAATCTGGGTTTTAGAGTAGCAGACAATATGAGAAAGCAAAATTTCAGTCTAACTAACTACACTAAGCTAGGAAGTATCCTCTGAATTGAAATATATACTGTTCCCCTTAAAATGTAGTTAAAAATAACAGTATATCTCTAAACGTTTTCTAATTTTATCAGAAGTTTACGGAAAAAGCTATATTTTATTCAAAAAGAGACAGATTAAACAGAATAAAAATCAAAGTAGCATAAAGTTTTGAGGGACTAACAATGGGCACCCTAAGTTTAGCAGAAGTATTTGGAAATCTACATTGAGCTGCGAAAAGTGAAAACTAAAATAGCTAAGTTATAGTTTATTATTCTAAAATTTTTCTAAATAATTTGTTTTAAAAGAAAAGTCTTAGACTGAATACAAATCGAAGCGGCATAAAGTTTTAAGGGACTAACAACCCCTGCTTACAAATTGTATACCACCCTCAAACTAAAGTGTTAAAGCTGTAAAGAATAATTGGAAAATAAAACAACTGGGTACTTTATTTTATTGGCAAATGCATAGGCTTTTTAAGCTTGAGATATTCTAATATAGAAGTCTACAAAAGAATGAGCTTGGTCGACATCCTAATTATACATCTTACAAAACTATAACTATGCATAGAATGCATCGTACAGATTGATTTAAACATTGATCACTTAGTATATTAGTTTTAAATATTGGAATTTTATATCCGAATTTCTGTTAATAAAACAATTATTACTGCCGTTCTGTCTTATCATTATCTAACTTTAATGGCAATACATTACCGCACCCATACCTTCACGATTAATAAATTATGTTCTGAGTGGGTTTTATACCACGAGCACGCCCATTTCATTAAGAAAGACTACAGACAAACAACAAATTGTTTTTCGAACTATATCAGAAACCGGTTTTAGGCTGTATACTATATAATGCGCTACTGCATTTTTTTACGGTAACTCAATGTATTATAAAATATTGCTTTGGACACAATTTATGTTAGAAGCGAAATAGGAATCTTTCAACCTTCATCACCTTGATTCAAGTATTAAATCATATATTAATGTTAACTACATATATATATGTAGTTATATGGAATAAGTTGCGTGGTCACTTGTTAAGTAATATTGGAAATATTTTCTGCTTATATAGCACTACAATAATACTTCTGATAGCATTTTTTTTTGCATATACGAGTAAAAAACTTTTAATTCTAAAGAATATGGCATTGTTTTAAGGGTCATTATAATTAATTAAAAAATTCTACTATATTTACTTAATATACCATATGATTAAAAACATCAGACTTTTAATTCTTATGAATATTTTTAAATTGTTTTAAAGATCATTATGTTCATAATTAAAAAATCCAACTATATGTATTTAATAGCAATAATAGTTAAATAAGTGTGAATATCTGAAAAACTTAATAAAAACAAACAAGATTAATTAAAAGAAGACCATCAAAATTAAGCTGGAGTTATTATTGCAATTCATATGAAATAAATTTCATAATATAATAACCACATTTATTGTATATGTACTATATGCACATATATAGTGGAAGTATAATCCATAATACAAAAGAAGAGATATGGAAATATTATTTTACGCCTTTATTGTCAATTAATTTACCGACACCAACAACTGCCTTTTCGTAATTGCGATTTCCATTTAATTGTCATTAAATATTTTTCCATTTAATTGCCTTATTTTCAAATGAATTGAATAAATACGACCACAAATAATCTGGCTTTATTCAATCTTTGTATTTTTTTGCTTTGTTTATTTTTTTAATTTTATTTAAGTGTTTTATTGGAAATAGTTCGGTTTAATCCATTTACTGCACTTAAGTTGTTTACTATATGTAATTAATACGACTACGCTTTTGTGTTTGCAGATTAGTTTCTCCATGTTTGTGCAAGGGATCGCTGACTTATGTACACATCTATTGCCTTGAACGCTGGATTAGCACATCGAGAAGTACCACTTGTGAATTATGCCAATTTGTATACAACACGGAGCAAACCTTACGGTAAGAGTACGATTTTCAATTATTTTAAATCAATATTAGTTTTAATCGTAGTAGTCAAGTAGTCAAGGCCTTTGAAATGTTACAATATTTGTTTGCCAAGTAAGCGTTTACGTACTGCAGGCAAATTACGAAAAAAGTTCGGCGTTCTCAATTTCAGTGAATGGTTAATAGAAAATTTCTATTTCTATAAATGTAATTGAATTAGGATTTACGCTAGTACTTACTTATCGTCAAGTATTTAAATACAATCGAATTAAGATTTACGAAACTTATATAGTCAAAACTGGAGGAATTTAACAAAATAAAAGTGCTTTTTCCATGGCTGCTTGAAAACAATTTAAAAAAAATTAACAAACATGGGAATTATTATATGAACTAATTTCTTTGATATTAGTAGAAAGTCATGTAATCGTGGTTAGGTGTGTTGGTAGGTTAAAATGGTCAACTACCTCCTCATCTATAGTAGCTGACGAAGTTAGAACAAATTTTTCCATTATGATGACATACTATATAGAACATACTACTATGGTATTATATACTACATATCCAGTATAACATACTATACATACTATACTATTCCAGTAAAAACACTAAAATACTGTGTCCAAAAATACTAAATCAACTTGTCAACGTAGTGACCTTTGTAGTGAATGCTAAAAACCAAAGACATTAGGTATGCTGGCAACAAAGGATATATTATACAGCTGCTACTAACCTAGTTTAATCATTCTCATTTTCTCATACCTCTCGGCACAGCTTCTGTAATGATCATTAAATATATTAATTTTTATCAGTCTGTGTATCAGTCTATGTAAAGACTAAAAACCGTCTGATTAGTTGGCAACGCAAAATTAGTTGGCAACGCAAAACCTGCGTTCAGGTACTATCACTGTACAATATATTGAGGACATAGCTTTGAAACCACGATTTGGTTATTACATGTTATTATTACATGTCAGTGACAAAGATCTAGTTTGGTTGAAAAACTGGAGGTTTGAGCACAATAAATAAATTTACATAAAATGTTGAAAACTTAGTAGAAATAATGTTTAGAAAGGTTAAAATTATAAAATTGTATGATGATAACTGTAATAAGTATTCAAAGTGTATGTGTTCGCATTAAAAGAGAGCAATTTGACTGCACATGATTTGAATAACAGTAAATATGTACAATATTGATTGTAACCAGATTTTATTGCAGTCGTATAATTATTACCTAAATGGAAAGGGCTTTATTTTTAAATAAACTTCAGAAATCAGAAAGTGAGGTTATTGCTAGTTTTTTTGATGCTCATAGTTAGACAAGTAACCAGCGACATTACTATGCTTTTTCCAGGACGATTAATTTTATATAATATAAAATTCTTTACATAAAAAGTTTCAACAATAACCGCTACATTACGATTTTAAGAACTACCATCAGCAGACACTTTCAACAGATGATGACATATCAGTCATTCACTTTCCTTTTAAATTTAAGTGCCACAGATTGACATTTTCAAAAAGCTATCCGGAGTACATCTGGTTCAGTGTGCGTTTTTCATATTCTAATATTGTAAACTTCACAACAGCGAGTTCGCATTAAATATTGCTTAAAATGGTTTAAATAGTGCGAAGACCTCCAAAATTTT